AGGGAGGAAGGGAGGGAGGGAAGCGGCGGGAGGGGGGAGGGCTCTGCCCTGCCGTCGGGGCGGCGGTGATGCCCGCGCCGAATGGGTTCGTGCCCGAGCAGACCGGAACCGCGGCTGTTGCCACACACCCCCTGATCCCTCACGGCTCACTCCCTGAAGGCACCCGGGGCTGAGAGATGAGCGGGGTCTAGGAGGTTTCTCCGGGCTCTGCGTCGGCCCCGCCTCGAAAGCCCACGGGACACTGGGTTCGGCGGCACGGTGTACGGCTGCTACCGCCTGTGGCCCAGAGCCGCGAGGCTGTGCCGAGGGGTCGAGATCAAAGTTTTGCCAAAGTTTTGCAGCCGCAGAGAGATGCTGGGAGCAAGAGCTGTCCAGGACCAGGAGCTGCCCACAACAAGTGCGCGGAATCGGGCTGCGGGGTCGCGGCGCAGAGCTGGAGAGCCGCGGTAGCCACCTGCCCCCGTGGGGTCCTCTCCTGCATCCCGTGGCAAGACAGCTACCTAACGCAAACGACGTCTATAGAAAGGAACGTGAAATTAACGGAAATTAATCAGGTTGCTTGAAACCTAAATTATAATGTCTGATGCGGCGGACTTGTAGTGTTCTGCATTTCCGTACGCAGAGAGGTTTCTTACTGAAAAATGGATATTTCCCGTGTGGTAGCGGGAACCTTGAATCCAAATGTAATGTATTGGTGGAAAAAACAAACAAACAAACAAAAGTTACATGCATTTTGGCTGAGGGGAAACGAATTTACTGCAAGAGTTCTGCCCGCGGCGTAGCGTCCGCAGAAAGGCAGGGGCTGCTGCTTGGACCCGAACCTTTTCCGTTGCATCAAGATCTCCCCTGCTCTTCCCAGACATCTCTCCACCATATAAAAAAAATAAAGGTTTTTAGCGAGGCTACGTAATAACGAAATCAGATTTAAAACTCGGGAAGTATTTCGCCGAAGAGAATAAAAGGCACAGCGTATGCTGCGAAGGTATTTGCCTGATATTTCATTACTAGGGTCTTTCCTCATTATTTTTTTACTTCTAGAGGAAGAGTGATTCAGAGTGATATTTCTCCCCTGGGCCGTGCGCGGGGTGTAAGGAGGAAGAGCACTCCACCTGTAAATCGCACCGAGCTAGGGAGGTGAATCGGATCAGATACGAGGAACAGCGCATTTTCTCGCAGTGCTAGTAGAACATCTTTTTTTTTTTTTTTTTTTTTTGCTGCTGGGGGTGCATGCACTGAACTCTGCAGCTCGCAACTGGCCTCCCCCGCGGAGCCTCTTGCACACTAGGGAGTCCCCATCGAGGGGAGAAAAAGAAAGAAGCGGACCATTCAACTATCACAAAATTACGTAAAAGATGATGCGCACCCACCCTTGAAAATCCCCTCAAAACGATGAAAGAGGGTGCAAGTGCCTGGGGGAGCGGTGATGGTGATGGAAAACCTTACTTTTCCCCACTAGCTGGAGAGGGTCCTGCGGGGCTCCTCACCACCGCAGCCGGCCGGGCGGCTGCCAGATCCCGAGCCGAGGTGCCCGGCACGGCGGTAGGCTGGCTGAGGGCCGGGGCCCCCCCTCTCACTTGGCTGCACATCGGGCGTTTAGGCTGAAATACGCGTTTGATATAATGCTGTAATCCTTTTCTCATATTTGATGGGAACGGTTTCCACGTCCTAGTATTGGACAACATTTATACATAGGGCCAAATTCGCATTTATGTCAGCAAGACGTTCCCTGCCTGAAAGTCCATTGTAACCCAACACCTGACAACCCCGGCTCCCATTTCTGCTCGCCGAAAAGGTTTATTCAAGCACATAATGGGATCCCAGCAGAAAGCTTTTCAGACGAAGTGGCGATGGTAAACTGCGCCACATGAACTCCGTTTCCAGGGCTATTAAGCTTTTAATTGCAAAATAGCAGAGGAAATTTCAAGGTGACAATGAGGTGTTAGCAGTTAGCACGTAGAATAATAGACCGAAAGAGAACGAATGTGCGAAACATATGCTGCAAATAACATTTAGAGGAAAGGGACAGGCTCAGCCAAAGGGCCAAAAAACCCCTGCCGACCGGGCTGGGCCGGGGGCAGGCTGGAAACCGGTCCGAATCCGCTGGCATTTCGCGACTTTTCGATGTAGAGGAGTCGGCGCTACCGCCGAGCGACTGGAACTCGTCGTGAGCGGCGTCTCAGCCGGGGGGACAAGGGCGGCCGCAGGGTCTGCTGAGCTGGGGTGCCCCGCCGTTCCCCGCGTACTGCGGGCGGAGGAGGGGGTTGGGCCGGAGGGAGTGCTCGTTAGTGTTTGCATTGCTCTAAAAGTAAGTTTTTGGGGCGGGGGCGTTCGCGGGATGCTGGCCACCACTGAGCGAGTACGAACGACAGGTTTAGTTCACCTCGCCTTAACTGCTTTAAGGCATTACCCGCGTTACAGAGAGAAGACAGGAATAAATTAGGCATGATTTCCCGCTTGGAGAGTGACTCTGAGTGTCTCTGAACGTTTGTGCTGGCACACA